TCATTTTCTCATTTATCACTCTCTCCCACTATCCCATTTATCACTCTCTCTCTCGTTCTCCTATTTATCACTCCCTCTCATTCTCCCATTTATCACTTTCTCTCTCATTCTCTCATTTATCACTCTCTCTCATTCCCCAATTTATCACTCTCTCTCATTCTTCCATTTATCACTCTCTCTCATTCTCCCATTTATCACTTTCTCCGTCAACTCCCATTTATCACTTTCTCTCTCATTCTCTCATTTATCACTCTCTCTCAATCTCCCATTTATCATTCTCTCATTCTCCAATTTATCACTCTCTCTCATTCTCCCATTTCTCACTCTCTCTCTCATTCTTCCATTTAAAAGTCTCTCTCTCTCTCATTCTCCCATTTATCACTTTCTCTCTCATTTTCCTATTTATCACTCTTCCTCTCTCATTCTCCCATTTATCACACTCTCTCATTCTCCCATTTATCACTCTCTCTCTCATTCTCTCATTTATCACTCTCTCTCATTCCCCAATTTATCATTTTCTCTCATTCTTCCATTTATCACTCTCTCTCATTCTCTTATTTATCACTTTCTCACTCGTTCTCCCATTTATCACTCTCTCTCATTCTCCCATTTATCATTTTCTCCCTCATTCTCCCATTTATCACTTTCTCTCTCATTCTCTCATTTATGACTCTCTCTCAATCTCCCATTTATCACTATCTCTCTCATTCTCCCATTTATCCCTTTCTCTCATTCGCCCGTTTATCAGTCTCTCTCTCATTCTCCCATTTATCAGTGAAGAAATCGAAAAATCAAAATGAAAAATCGACAAACTTACCAAACGTAATGTTGAAAAATCCAAAAATTGAAATATTGAAAAATTGATAAATCGAATAACTGAAAAATCCTAGAAAAATTATTGAAGAATCGAAAAATTGAAAAATCGAAAAATCTAAAAACTGAAAATTCAAATCCTAATATATCAAAAATTGAAGGATTGAAAAACTGAAAAATCAAGAAATCGAGACGACGAGCAATCGAGAAATGGGAAAAACGAAAAATCGAAAAGTCAAAAAATCGAGAACTCGAAACACTAAAAATTGAAAAATCGCAAAAATATAAAATTCAAAAAATCGATAAAATCGAAAAATCCAAGAAATGAAAAATTGAAGTTAATTAGTTAAAAATTAAAACATGGCTAAATCGAAATATCAAAAATTCGTAAAATTGAAACATCGAAATAGTGAAGAATTAAAAAACTGAAAAACCGAGAAATTGAAAAATCCCAAAATTGAAATCTAGAAAATTTCGGAAATCGAAAAATCGAAGTCGAAACGTTGAAAAATCGGGAAATTGAACAATCGAAAACTCAAAACATCGAATTCTTGATAAATCCAGAAATCGAAACATCAAAAATTGAAAAATCGCAAAACTAAAAATTCAAAAAATCTAAAATTTCTAAAATCGAAAAACTGAAAAAACCAAAAATTTATAACCGAGAAGTCGAGAAATAGGAAAATAAAAAAAAATCTAAAATTTAAAAATTCGAAAAGTTCAAAAATTCAAGAATCGAAATACCTAAAATTTAAAAAATGGAAAAAACAAAAAAATCAAAATGAAAAATTGAAAAATTTAACAATCGTAATGTTGAAAAATCCAAAAATTGAAATAAGGAAAAATCGATAAATCGAAAAACTGAAACCCTAGAAAAATTGAAAAATCGAAAAATTAAATCCCAAACAATCAAAAATTGAGGATTTGAAAAACTGAAAAATCAAGAAATCGAGACGTCAAGCTATCGAGAAATGGGAAAATAGAAAAATCGCCAAAAATTAAACTTAAAAAAATCGACAAAATCGAAAAATTAAAAAAAATAAATATCTGAAAATCGAAAAACCTAAAAATCGGAAAATCTAACAGAAAAAATTAAGAATCGAAGTGTTGCAAAATCCAAAAATTGAAATATCAAAAAATTGATAAATCCAAATATGTATCGAAAAACTGAAAAATCCTAGAAACATTAAGATTCGAAAAATCGAAAAGCTGAAAATCAAAAACAAAAACAACGGTGAGCAATCGAAACATCGAAAAGTCGAGAAATCCAGAAATGCGAAAATGGAAAAGTAAAAAATTTGGGAAATGGAAAAGTCAAAAAAATTGAAAAATCTACGAAAAACAGAATAATTTGAGAATCGAAATGTTGCAAAATCCAAAAATTGAAATATCAAAAAATTAATAAATCGAAAAACTGAAAAATCCTAGAAAAATTGAAGTATCGAAAAATTGAAAAATCGAAAAACCTAAAAACTGAAATCAAAATCTTAAAAAATAAAAAAATTGGACAATTGAAAAACTGAAAAATCAAGAAATCGAGACGTCGAGCAATCGAGAAATGGGATAATCGAAAAATCAAAAAGTTAAAAAATCGATAAAATCGAAAAATCAAAAAAATGAAAAATCGCAAAACCTAAAAATCTAAGATTTTAAAAACCGAAAAACTGAAAAAACGTAAAATTTATAACCAAGAAGTCGAGAAATCGAAACGTCAGAAAACTGAAAATTCTAAAATTTATAAATACGAAAAATTGAAAAGCTGAAAAATCAAAAACAAAAACGACGTCGAGCAATCGAAACATCGAAAAGTCGAAAAATCGATGAATCGAGAACTCGAAAATCTAGAATCGCTAAAAATTGAATAACCAAAAAATCGTGCAACGGAAATATCGGAAAATTGAGAACTAAAAAAAATATAAAATACAGAAATCGAGAATTTAAGAAAATCGAGACAAATTTAAGTATGGAAAAATGAAGTAATCGAAGAATATAACATGAAGAAATTGAAAAATTGGAAAATCTAAAAATTGAAGAATCAAATAACTGAAAAATCTTAAAACTGAAATATCAAAAAGCCGAGGATAAAAATTTAACATGGATTCATAAACCACAGGACTATGTTATTTTTTAACATTAATTTGACAAAATTGTGTCAATTCCTGAAAGGGGGTTGGGTTGAATTTTGATTAACGATTTACCATGCTTCCCATAACCTTAAAATATTTGCAAGATTTCAGAGCATTCTATTTTGTAACATCAAAGTTAAGTTGCCCCTTGTGTCTGGTTTTTGAAGTAAATTGAAAGTCTTGTGGATCCCTCGTGTCTTATTTTTGAAGTACATAGTTTGAAAGAACCTCGGGGACTACTCCTGCTTCGTTTTTGAAGTAAATTGAAAGAGTTTCGGGAACATCTTGTGTTTGGTTTTTGAAGAAGTTTGAAAGAATCTCGGGGACCCCTTGTGTCTGGTTTTCGAAGTAGTTTGAAACATTTTCAGGGACTCCCTTTGTTTTGTTTTTGAAATAATTTGAAAGAATCTCGGAGTCCCCTGAAGTGTTACAATATTTTGTGGAGAGATAAATAAAGGAACACGCTTTATTATGGTACAAACAAACTTGAGCCTTAATGTACAGAGTGTTTATAATGTTTTTTTTTTATTATTATAATTTTCAAATGCATATCTTCTGATTTATGTACTCCTGCTTTTCTGAGAGACATGTTGACATAATGAAAGAAAGAGAACAAAAAATAAAATAAGATATAGTAATAAAATGCAGGGTGTTCTGTTTGAAAAAATACTCTGTATATTTAAACTTGACTTAAATGTGACCACAACAAAGTGCCAACCTCTACAGATCTCTCCATAAAATACTACAACTTGTAGTTAGTAATACAAAAAATTCAACTACTATAACTAATGGAAACAATCAACAATTGGAAAGAATGTTCCCTTAATACATAAATGAAGCTTATATCTACCTCCACAAACCAAATTCCAACAGTTTACTCAATCCATGACTCAAACGATTTTTGTGTTTATTTGAAATTTTCTTGAAACACCGACACTGTCAAACAAACACTTCCAAACTTCAGTTTTAGCACCAATTTTTATCAAACTCAGCTACTACTCAAACAAACTTAAATCTGAACTGATGAGGCGGGTATTGATTAGAACTTCCTCACGAATTTGTTAAATATCTATTGTATACAATTTTCATGCTATAGGTCGTTTCGGTACAGTCAGAGCACCTTCATCAGGCAGACGAACTTATGAAATTTTTCCATGGCGATTCTGAGCATCATCTTTCTCGACATCTAGTTAATAGTGTTTCAACTAACCAATTCTGAGGACCTGATCCACTTCTAAGCGTCTAAGAAAGTTAGGTTATGGCAGATTTTAATAATAATCACCAACAAATTTTGTTTTACATTAATTGTCATTTCTATTATGTCAATAGGAAGTAATATGGAGTGACAATTCTACCAATTTAGAGCAAAATTTATTGACACCCACTGAAACAGTGATTTTTGATGATCGAGAAAAAAGTCGTCTAGCAATCTCTGGAATTTAACGTTAATAAACAATGTTGGGTCACCAATTTTCATACTTTGAACGACGACCCTTCTTCGCATCGTAGTTACACCATATTTACACATTTCAACACAATTATTCCATCCTTGCCCCAAAGAATTGATGCCAACATTTTTCCTCTTGATTTTTGGACATGACTTTTCAAGTTTCCTTTGTTCTGGACTGTAATGACACACTTTTTGTCGTTGACCAACTCGGAAAAATACCATACTTTATAAGAACTTGGGGAATCTCTGAAATTCATGAAAAACGCGTCCATCATTAAGTAAACGCTCCTCATTTAGACGAATTGCAAGCACTTGCGACTATGGCTTTAGATTTCTCCATCTGCCACCATAAAAGGATATTGCTCCATGTCATATAAGCCATCTGGTCCGTAAGTTACGGTCGATTTTTCGCAGATTTAAGCCCATTCGGACAGGCGTTATGTAACGTTTGGTCGTGACGCAAACAGATTGATGGTCTGTTTATGTGCTATTTATTATTCGGCAAACGTGCCATCCTCTCCTAAAATCGGCGATTGCGTCATCGGATTTGGCGAAAGCACGTGTTTCGGAGCGGCGCCACCTAGGGGGCCGGGACGAAATAAAAATTCCGGTCATATTGAGGTTTTGTATTGAATGATTATTAGCCTAGACGGTGTTACGAACAGATGCTACTTACAAAGACGATTAACACCTACATATTCTAGTTTATTTATATATGTATATTCATTTACTCTATGTTGGGGTGCCGGCCTGGGGCGTTCACAACGCCCGAGGGGGGCGCCACCGGCCGTCCGGCTCGCGCCGACCGAACCCAAAACAACTTAACAAGGGCGCGAAGCGCACGGCCGCACACAAAAGACGTTTCTTATCAGTTTCAAGTTAACTATTAGACATTTACATTGCACTTATCCAAAACTTAAATGTATCCGTTTTAACCTAAACAGTCACGAGCTCGGAAACGGCCGTCTTGGTCCAGGCGAATATGGCACATAAATTAATCTCTCCGGGCGCGGACCAAAACGGCCGTCTTGTCCAATGTTGTGATATCGAATCACAGCACTGCCAAATGAAAGTCAGTAAATGCAAAATCCTGAGGGAAGCCAAACATAATATATTTATATTAAATAGTATAAAATATCACATGTTTCTTTTTTATTATAGTAAATAAAGTATTGAACACGAACGCCTAATAATTTCCCTGCTTTGATTCTGAATAGCACGCGTCTCTCTAGTTTTGTGTCAAAACTATTTACATGACTGAGGAAATTGTGTCTTTATCATATGGCCGTTTCGATAACGTAATTTCTAATTGCAACGCAAGCTCGAAAGAATTGTCGTCGTTTGGAAATCTTAAAATGATATGGCTCGCCACAATTTAACAAATAAAATATAGAACGTTCAAATCAATTTTACAAGATAAACTTTTATAAACATTTTTATGTACAAAGTAATTACATTTGTAGCAATATACAACTTAATCATTTGTTTTTCTTTCATATGGTAATTTTAAACATATCAAAAACGGTTATGGGTTTCGTCGCGCTACTCTCCTTGTCTCTATCTCCAACGACACGCCGCAAGAAATACAAACAAAAGAGCAGCTTCAAAACTTTGTGGCACAAGGAACATAAATTTAAACTATCTAAATTAACGCTTGGATGTTGGAGGATTCTTCAAATGCGCTATTGCAACAAGAAAAATTGAACCGTCCCGATGAAATATAAGTACTGAGAGAATTACTTGGAATTTTTCCAAACACATGATGAGGTAAAAACAAACTGAAAAATGGCGACGATATCTCAAGTTACCGCTGCGTAGAAACGCAACTCTTCTACAACAAACACATGACATTCGACACAATGAAACTGACAGTAAAACGGAAATCTAGCAATATTGTAATTTTTGACAAGTGATATAAAAACCTGAAGCTAGAAGACGACAAACGTCGCGTTCGTCCAAACGCCTCCTTCATCACTTTTTTATCTGCTATAACACTTTCTTACAACAGCGTCACGTCGCAGTCAATTTAAACTTCCACATTTATGTTAGTTTTGGAAAAACTTGATAATTTAGTACAGAGTCTAGACACAGGACGTCACTAATCACCTAATTGTCAAAAGCGAAATGCGTCACAGTTGTGACCTCTGTATTTAAATTTTTCATTGGAATCACACCTCTACAGACTTAGATTTTACCACTCAAACTTTACTAGCACACCTTCAAAGTACATGTTTTTTGGTTAGGATTTAAATAATTTCACTAAATGTCACATTTGACAAGTCAAAATTGTAACTACGCCGCTTTTAGTTCATCTGGTGATATCACTTGTCAAAATTAGAAACGACTATTTTTGAACACTTGAGAAGTTGTTGAATTCAAAGAGAATGTTTGGTATTTGAAAGACTTTTCCTTAATTTTCATAGTGTATAACGAGGTTAATTATATGATAAAATTGTAACGTGGTGTTTCTTAGTTCATCTTGTAATGTCACTTGTCAAAGTTATAATTATTACATCAACTATAAGAAAATTTGATTTGATTTCTATAATCTGTAAGACGTGATTCCAGTTGTTTCTAGGATTTTACTTTAAATATAAAAATAGACGTAACATTCTTCAGTTCTTTAACTGAAGAATGTGACGTTTATGGATATGTCACATTATTATATTAATTTAAGCACTAAGATACTAAGCGCAGCCTACTTAGTTAACAGTTTTTTAAATAATGATCCAGATCTTTTCATATCTGTTCATTTTTAAAAAGGTAAATATTATAGCAGATAAAAACGATGATTATTCTACAGCATAAAACACAAATACAAAAAATATATATTTAAAAATGTCAAATACAACCATTAGGTTAGGACGTTGTGGTTAATGTTACGTGAAAACAGTGGCGTCTTGATCTTCAGTGACTAACTGCGCAACATAAGGTTAAGCTTGACATCTGATTTGACACCAAAAGCTTATCTGTTCAGTCAGAGCTTTAGATAATGCATTTATCTTAAGACAGGTTTTCTATGAATAAAACTGAACAAATACTTTAATAAAAGACAGTAATTAGGTTAGCAACGACATTTTGAGGTTAACCTTAATGTAATTGACAGTACACATGACTGAGAAAAACGCTAGGTTTACATAGTTGAAGAACAATCGCTTCTTCACTATATAATTTTCTTTAACACTAAAAGGTCTCATGACAGGTACTCTATAAATAAACTGACATTCTCATCAATAACTAAAATAATAAAAATAATAATAATAAAAACAAAAAAACTGAAAATAACTTCTACATAATGATAAAATATGTGTGTAAGAGGATAAAAACCGCGTCGACGCGAGAAGAAAGCCCATCTCGCGTGATCTCCTGCCGATTAAGTACTCCTTCCTCCAACATCCAAACCCCACTATAAATAACTACAAAATATAAATGGATATTTATAATATATAGAGGTGATTTTGGCAAATGACATTTATGTTACATAGTATAAAATCCAGAGTGCAGTACTAAAGTCAACAAAAGAGCAAACTAAAAAAAATTGAGATCACGCACTGCACTGAACACAGTCCTTCGCCCTTGTCACTTCCAGCTGGGCTACGTAACACTAATAATTGAGCGTGTCGTCTCTTTCCCACTCGTGTCCGAAGAGTCGTTCCTCACGCACTGCCCGGTCAACTGGTTCACACTGAGCGGATTGTTAATGTCGTGGGGGTTCGTCCCGACCGGGTTGCGGGGCGGCTGGTGAGGGTGCGGGGGCGGCAGCTTGACGTCGAAGGCCTCGTGCGGCGTCAGCGGGCTCTGGAGCATGTAGGGGCTGGCGACGCTGACCGAGGGACTCGCGACGCTGGTGGACGGGCTGGGCAGCACCATGCCGCCGGGGCTCGTGAGGCTGCTGAGGCCCGACAGCGCGCCGGGGCTCGAGATGGACTGGTTGAGGCTCTCGGCGTCGTCTTCGGGCGGCGTGTGAGCGTCGCCCATGCTGCCGCAGCTGCCTAGATTGTCGTCGGATTGGTTGCCGTCGTTGCCGTCGCCGGCCTCCATGTACCGGATGCACTTCTTTTTACGTCTGCGGAAACGAGAGGTTAGAAAAGTGGGCTGGACGGGGGCACACAGTAAAGGGGTTAAAATTGTACGGTATTAAAGAAAGTAGTGATCATGCCGGCTGAAAAATAATGTATAATTAAAAAAAAAAAAAAAAAATTAAAATGTAACATGCAACGTAGTTCTGGAAAAGTGACCGGAGTTTTAGTGGTCGCATCCGTAGGACCATGTCGCAGTGTGGCTGATTTTGGTACACTAATCATTCGGAACAATGATGGGAACAGAAGCCATGCAATATAGTTAATGTCAAAGCGGAGATATTAAATAAGCTAATGGTGGCTTTAAAAAGAAAATTTATGTTGTCCCCTTCTGTCTACTTATCCTCATATTTCATTTATTTCAATAGTTTGTCTTTAAAACTAAGTAAAAACTAGTGGCCCGGTAAGGCCAGATCAGGTCAGGCCAGGTCCCGTTAGTTCAAGTTAATTGTTTGCTTTCAACAGTGAATAAAACCAGCGTGTGAAGTTTAATAAGGTTAGATCAAGTCACATCAGGTCAGTCTAGGTCAAGTCAGATCAGTGCAGGGTAGAGTAGGTTAGGTAAGGTCTGGATCCGTCAGGTTTTCGCTCCACTTAACTAAGGTTAGATCAGGTCAGGTTAAGTCAAGTCAGACATAAAGCGCAGATGCTTATAGAGGTTTCCCCTCCATAGAAAACAAGGCCAAGACAGTCTATACTAAAATCAAGTCAGGACAAGTAAGGCTAGGCCAGGTGAGGTCAGGTCAAGTCAAGTGATTGCCTATAAAAGGTTTCCCCTCCATTGGAAAAAGGTCAAAGTAGGTGAGCCCACACTAAATCAGGTAAAGTTAAGTCAAGTCAGGTCAAGTCAAGCGTAAGGCGAGGTTGCCTATAAAAGGTTCTCCGTGGAAAAAACAGGTCTAGTCGGTCTAATCTACGTTCAATTAAGTCAGACTAGACTTTGTCAGGTCAGGACAAGTTAGGCATTAAGTGAGGACTTAGAAGTTTTCTGCTCCATAGAAAAAAGGTCAATTAAGGTTAAACTAGAATTAAGTCAGGCTAGGCTTGGTCAAGTCAGGACAAGTCAAGTTAGGGTATACCAAGTCAGGTCAGGTCAGGTAATGCGAGGGTGTTTACTAAAGATTTCCTCTCTATAGAAAAAAAAAGGTTAAGTCAGAGTAGACCACAGCAGGGTAGGTCAAGTCTGGCATAAGGAAAGGTGCTTATAAAATTTTGCTCCCATATTGGAAAAAAGGGCAAGGCAGGCTAGACCAGAATCAAGTTAGGCTAGACTCGCCAAGGTCAAAAACAGGTCAGATCAGGCCATACTAAGTCAGTCGTAGGGCAACAGTGTCTATAAGATTTCCAATCTATAGAAAAGAAAAAGGTCAAGTCACGGTAGATTAGAACCAAATCAGGTTAAGTCACACCAAGTTAGGTCAGGTTAAGTTACTAAAAAAAGATCAAGTTAAGGCAGGTGCCTATCAAAGGCTGGAAAGAAAAATCAAGTCAGGCTAGACTCAGTCATAAGGCGAGGGTGACAATAAAAGGTTTGCCAACCCCATAAAAAAGGTAAAATCAGGCTACATGATATCAAACTAAGTCAGGTTAGGTCCGGTCAAGGCCAGCTTTTCCCTCCACTAAAAACAGATTAAATCAGGTCAGGGCAAGTCAGGTAAAGCGAGAGTGCCTATAAAAGGTCCAGTTACGTTACAGTTCATAGAAAAAGGGCAGAAACCGGGCTATAATAGGTCAAGTCAGGTTACAGCCAGTCAAGTCAGGATAAGTCAGGTTAGACCATACTAGGTCAGGTCAAGTAAGGCATAAGGCAAGGATACCTACATAAGTGTTTGCCTCACAGAAAAAAGGTCAAATCAGGCTAGAATAAGTCAAATCAGGTCAAACTATATAGATCAGGTCAAATTAGGTGAGGCATAAGACGGGATTGCTTGGAAAAGGTTTCCGCTTCATTGAAAAAAGGTCAAATCAGGGTAGACTAGGTCAAATCAAGTTAGGTCAGACTAGAAGACTAGGTTAGGGTAGACTAGGTCAAGTCAAGGTAGGTTAGGTCAAGTCAGGGTAGGCTAAGCCAAGTCAAGGTAGGCTAGGTCAAGTCAGGGTAGGCTAGGACAAGTCAGAATAGGTTATATCAAGTCAGGGTAGACAAGGTCAAGTTCGGATAGACTTGGTCAGGTCAGGTCAAATCAGTAATAAGGCGAGGGTGACGATACAAGGTTTCTCCTTCATAGAAAAAGAGGTGAAATTAGGCTACAAAAGGCTTCCCCGCCACAGAAAGAAGAAAAGCTCAAGTCAGGTTAGAGCTGGTCAAGTCAGGACAAGTCAGATTGGTCCACGTGAGGTCAAGTAAGGCATAAGGCAAGGAATACCTACATAACTTTTTCCCTCACAGAAAAAATGGTCAAATCAGGCTATAGTAGGTCATATCAGATCAACCTACACTCGGGCAGGTCACATCAGGTCAAATTAGGTGAGGCACAACGCTAGGTTGCCTATAAAAGGTTTCAGCTTTATTGAAAAAAGTCAAATCAGGGTAGACTAGGTCAAATCAAGTTAGGTTAGGCTGGAAGACTAGGTTAGGGTGGACAAGGTCAGGTCAGGGTAGCCTAGACTAGGTCAGGGTAGGCTAGGTGAAGTCATAGTAGGCTAGGTGAAGTCAAGGTACGTTAGGTCAAGTCGAGGTAGGTTAGGTCAAGTCAAGGTAGACTAGGTCAGGTCAGGTCAAATCAGGAATAAGGCGAGGGTGCCGATACAAGGTTTCCCCTTCATAGAAAACGAGCTGAAATCAGGCTATAAGACTTCCCCGCCACAGAAAGAAGAAAAGGTCAAGTCAGGTTAGAATCCGTCAAGTTAGGACAAGTCAGGTTAGACCATACTAGGTCAGGTCAAGTAAGGCATAAAGCAAGGGTACATATACAAGTTTTTCCGTCATAGAAAAAAAGTCAAATTAGGCTAGAGTAGGTCATATAAGGTCAAACTGTATTTGATCAGGTCAGAGCAGGTCAAATTAGGTGAGGCATAAGGCGTGGTTAGGGTAGGCTAGCTCAAGTCAGAATCGGCTAGGAAGCCATGGAGTGTTCGGGAGCTCCACCAAAAGAATAAGTAAATCCCAGGAAGACACTTGCTATTGCTGCAATGACCCCGACAACCCAGAACGTCCCTCCTTACCTCATAGATAGAAGAAGGGTATAGGAAATACGGAAAAAGAATTGGAAACAGTTTTGAGCCCTGAAAATATAATCGAGCACATTTTAGAAGAAGAATACAGATGGGACAAAATCTCACCACTGATTACCAATATCATGAAAGTAAAGGAAAATGATGAAAAATAAAGACAACAAAATCGAAGCGACAGATAAACAACGACAGAGGCAGATCTACGAAAGACACTTAAGACAGTAGAGAGAAGAGTTGTTCACGAAGATCGAAGGTTAAATCAAGTCAGACTAGACTTAATCAAGTCAGGTTGGGCTTGGTCAAGTCAGGTTAAGACAAGGTAGGGCATACCAAGCCAGGTCAAGTCAGGTCACGTCAGGTCATGTTGGGCGTAAAACGAGGGTGCTTACAAAAGATTTCCCATATATAGAAAAGTTAAGTCAGGTCAAGTCTGGCATAGGAAACGGTACCTAAAAAAGGTTTCTCATTAAGAAAAAAAGACCAACTGAGGGTCAAAACAAGAAACAAGTTGGGTCAGGCCACACAAGTCAGTTAGGTCAGGTCACTAATAAAATGTAAATCTGGTCAAAACAAGTTAGGCATAAGGCGAAAGTTTCTATAAAAGATTTCCAATCCATAGACAAAAAAGGTCAAATCAAGGTAGATTAGAATCAAGTTATGTTCAGGTTAGGTCACACCAGGTTAGGTCAGGTCAGACTGTCAAAAAATAAAAGGTTTCCCGTCGGTAGAAAAAATGCCAAATCAGATTAGACTAGATCAAATCAAGTCAGATAGATTAAGTCAAAATCAAGTCAGGCCAGAGTAGGTCAAATCAAGCAAGGTTAGACTTGGTCAGGTCCGGTTAGGTCCCGTCATGTAAAAAAGACTCTCTATTATGGTTAAATTAGGCTAGAGTAGATCAAGTCAAATCAGGAATAAGGCGACGGTACCGATACAAGGTTTCCTTTTCAGAGAAAACGAACTGAAAATCAGGCTAGGGTAGGTCAAATCAAGTCAAACTAGACTTGATTTGTCAGGTTAGACAACACCAGGTCAGTTCAGGTTAGATTAAGTTAAGTCAGAAATAAGGCAAGGATGCCTATAGGTTTCCTCTTCATTGGAAGAAGAAAAGATCAAGTCAAGGTAGAGTCGGTCAGGTGAGGGCAAGTCAGGTTAAATCAGGCATAAGATAAAGGTACCTAGACAAGTTATTCTCCATTAATAAAGGTCTAATCAGGCTACAGAAGGTCAAATCAAGTCACATTACAGTCGGTTAGATCAGATCAGGTCAAGTTAAGTAAAACATAAGGCGGGGTTGAAAAAGGGTCAAATCAGGGTAGACTAGGTCAAGTTCGGACAGATTAGGTCAGGCCAGATCAAGTCATGTTAAGTCAGTGAAAGGTTTTTTTCCAATACTATATCTTTATAATGTAATGAATATATTGTTACGGCACATAGTTTCGTAATAGCAAGCCCTAAAGATTGCAAATTTGAGAAATTTACATACAACTAAACATTGATTTGGTTCTAGTAATTTTTTTTTGTTTTTAAAATTTTTATTTTTATCGTTTTCGAGATACGGAAAGTAAAGATATGTGAAAACCGTAGCTGCGATATCAAAACTAGTTACCGATACCGAGGATTATTTACAGCATTAACTAAAAAAATGTGTTTTTAAAATAAAAATTTTGACAGATTTTGGTCAGTTTTTAATCATTAAATAGACATTTGTACCGAAGTTGAGGAATAAACTCTGTTGGTTGACCTCAAATTAATGATTGAAGCAAATTTTTGTGTTGGTAATTCTGAATTATTTTGACAATCCGGTATGCCA